TAACCCAGTAGTTTACTAACCCACTTCTGATACTCTGGTTCCACCACCCGTTGCTCTAACAAAAAACGAAGACTTTGTTGGTCGGTGCGTACTAAAAACTTTTTTCCCAACAAATACGGTCTCCATTTTTTWATAGCCAACACAATAGCCATTAATTCTTTCTCATAAACGGATTTCTGTTTCGCCCTTAGTCCCAGAGCTTGACTAAAGTAAGCGATCGGTTGTTCATCTTGCATAAGAACCGCTCCCAGACCATATCCCGATGCCTCCGTCTCCACTACGAAATCTTTAGAAAAATCAGGAAGGCGTAGCACCGGAGTTGCAGATAACATTTTCTTCAATTCGTCAAACGCCCGTTGAGCTTCCGTAGTCCAATGAAATTGATTCTTTTTCAAGAGGTCGATGAGAGGTTTGGCTAGAGTACCGTACCCTTTTATGAACTTTCTATAATAATCGGACAACCCCAAAAACCCTCTCAATTCAGTTACCGACTTCGGTTCCACCCAATCCAAAACTGCAGCAATTTTTGATGGGTCAACTTCTACTCCTTTTGCTGAAATTATATGACCCAAATACCCCAAACGATCACGACCGAATTCGCATTTCTTTTTGTTTGCAAACAACTGATGTTGACAAAAGACCTCCAACACCTTCCGTAAATGCACATGATGTTTTTCAATTGTTTTACTATAAACTAGAATGTCATTAAAAAAACCAATACAAACTTCCGTAAATAATTCTTGAAAACCTCATTCATTAATCCCTGAAATGTTGCCGGAGCGTTCACCAAACCAAAGGGCATTACCAAAAACTCGTAATGTCCTTGATGGGTTCGAAAAGTTGTCTTATAAACGTCCTCCTCTTTCATTCGAATTTGATGGTAACCCGATTTTAAATCGAGTTTGGAAAATACGGTTGCTCCGTACAATTCATCCAAAAGCTCTTCAATCACCGGAATTGGAAACTTATCAACAATGGTCACTTTGTTCAAGGCTCGATAATCGATACAAAACCGCCAACTTCCGTCTTTTTTCTTGACCAACAATACCGGACTGGAAAAAGGATTCATACTCGGTTGAATAACTCCCGCCTCGAGCATTTCTTTCACCAACTTCTCGATTTCATCTTTCTGATAATGAGGATAACGATACGGCCGAACATTAATCATTTCAGTCCCTTCTTTTAACACAATACCATGCTCCCTACCTCTTTCCGGTGGTAAACCCCGCGGCATGTTAAAAACCGATTCGAATTCTCTTAGTAATGGATCCAAAACCACATTTGATTTTGCAATTTCCTCCGAGAATACCGAACAAGTACCCAATTCCACCAACACGCCCTGTCCTTCCTGGTTGATCACCTTTCCGATAGCTTTCAACGACACCATCGAACGTCCCAAAGATGGATCACCCTTTAAGGTGACCGATTTATCCCCACAAGTGAATTTCATCACTTGTAACTTCCAGTTAACATACGTTGCCCCCAAAGACTCCAACCACTGCATCCCTAAGATCACGTTACTATTACCCAAACCCAAAGGAAGAAAATCTTCCCTTATCTCGACTTCTGGTAAAAACAACGTTATCCCTTTACAAATGCCATTTCCCTTCTCCATATTTCCGGAACCCAAAGTAATAGTGTATTCTCCTGTAGCTTCCACTTTTAACTTCTGTCTTTTCACTAGATCGTAGGATATGAAATTATGCGTTGCACYGCTATCAATTAATACTACAACYTTTTGTCCTCCAATTCTTCCTTCCATCTTCATCGTTTTTGGATTAGTCARACCCACYACCGAATTTAAATGCACCTCCACTTTATCCGTTACYTCMGCCKCATTAAARATTCTTTCCTCCGTCTCCGGTTCRGTATCATCGAATGAATCCTCCTGAACTAACAACACATTCATCTCYTTCTTTTTACACTTATRACCCGGTGCGYATTTCTCATCACAAYGATAACACAAACCCAAYGATCTTCTTTGTTGTACCTCTWGATCAGACRAACGYCGAAAACCGGGAACCGATTTATTTGTAAWTGTYGGTGAATTAACAGAAYTACCGACACTATTAGAGGAATGATTAGAAACATTGCTTCTCAAATCCGCATTRGAATGAAAAAACGTACYTGTCYTYTTGCTATACCCCATATTTYTTTCTTTTGCTAATAYCTTGTTCTTCAATTCGATCTTCATGGCTATCTCCATTGCTTCACTGAGAGTTAATGGATCYATAAGTCTTAATTCCACTTTAATGGATTCCTCCAATCCATTAATGAACTGACTTAAGAAAACTTGTTCCGGAATCCCATCCAAAGGCGCCGCGAATTCAACGAATTTCCTTTTGTAATCTTCGATCGACCCTTCCTGCTTTACCGACAAAAATTGTTCAGACAACGAACCTGCTGTTAATGATCTGAATTGTCGTAACAACAAGTGTTTCAAATCTTCCCATCTGGTAATTGGATGTCGTTTGTGTTCCCATTGAAACCACTTCAATGCATCTCCTTCAAATGAAATAAACGACACATCAATCTTCTCTTCTTGACTCAACTGGTTCAACATAAAATATCTTTCAGCTCTTAAAATCCAACCATCTGGATCTCTGCCATCAAATACCGGAATCTCTAATTTGCGTCCTTTCGTAGCTAAGAATCGACTCCCTTGATTACGACTTCTGTCGCTTCGATCGAACCGTCCAGCAGCTTCCTCGTCCGACGAATTTGAGACATTCGTTTGATTTGCAAATTCGTTTCACATTTCTTCAATTTGCTGTACGGTTCTTTCCAGGCTCCTTTCAATTGAACCCACGCTGCTCTCCAGGTCTTCAATTCGATTGTTTGCGCTTCTTGTTGTCACATTCGTCATTGCTGATCGTAACGAGCTCTGATACCAATTTGTTATACCCTAGCTTGAATCGCTAATTGAATACGTAATCACTAACTCAAATCGTAGGCGGAAACATACAGGGAACGATTCATTGTGATAGGACAGCTTCAATTAGAACGAATCTGGAGGAGACTGTTGGCCAATCTATTTTGATACGTGAACAGTACAATTCCCAGACTTTCGAGAGGTCTGGGTTCTCTCCCTGAGCTTACGCTCCAAACAAACTCAACAGAAAATACCAAACAAAATACTCCGACTTCTACCAGACACTTCCTATTTAATCAAGAAAACAATTACCAAACTACCCTCCCTTATTCAAAACAAAGAAACAGCAGTTGCACTACTCAAACCTGATTTCTTCTTCTATACGTAAACCTCAAAGGAGGTTTATCAGAAAGTGGTTTATCAAAGGAGGTTTATCTATTGGTGCAGTGGGTACAACTAGGTAGCGCGTGGTAGTAAGGTGGTGGGTGTTTAGCAGAAATAGGGGGCTGTGAAAGTAGGAGGGCATCGATTACTTTTGTGTCTGTGTTTTTGGGCGAAAGCCTTGGGAGAGTGCTTAGCCGTTCAAAAGCCGATAAACCTATATGTAATCATTCGATTTCTTCTGTTCAATTTCTTTTCAAATAGCAATTGATTTACTGTGAGTGCTTCGATTTTACTGTTAATTGGTCAGTGTACATCACGGCCTCCCAAGTCCCAGTTCCCATTTTCCATATACTTTTAACTTGCATATACCTACAGAGTTATTTCCCTCAAATCTCGAAATTACCCTCATAGATTCTGACTCTCTTGACTCCCAGTCCCCTATATACACTGTAATACTGTATCAATCCTTAAGACATTGGGCTACCTAATTTGACGGCCTCAATCCTTAATCTCACAATTTCTTAAGTTATATATGTGCTATGTTTTGTTTTAAGTTGAAAAGAAAATTGTGTATTTTGAATGGTTTTATACATTAGCTTGTGATTTTGTGTAGGTTCTATTGTACACCAACCAATTAGCTGTAAAATCGAAGCACTCACAGTAAACCGATTGCTATTTGAAAAGAAATTAAACAGAAGAAATCGGATGATTATAGGTAGGTTTCAAGGCTTTTGATAGGCTGAGCACTCTCCCAAAGCTTTCGCCCAAAACGCAGACACAAAATTGATCAATGCCCTCCTACTTTCACAGCCCCCTATTTATGCTAAACACCCGCCGACATACTTCCACACACTACCTAGTTGTACCACTGCACTAATGGATTGTACTTTCCTACCAATGCATACCAACATTAACCATTTGACTCAGGGTATAAGAAGTTCTTCGTAAAAAATAAAATAAAATAAAATACATTTTAGCTTTGTTAGCTTGTGGGCAAGCCGACCCATTTATAGGGCAGGTAAGGGCAAGTTGTCAAGCCCACAAAAAGGTTTGAGTTTGCAGTATTAGGTCATTTAAACAAAAAATAGGTTAGGCCCGGCATGAGTCCGGCCCAAGCCCGCAAATGATCACCTCTACTCTATTCCTATTATCAATGGTTGTCGTGTAAACATATGATTCATATGAGGTAAGGCTGATAATTATGGATGTGATATATGATAGAGGTCTTTGTGGGTTTCTAAAACTAATTGGAATACTGAGGAGACTGGCACAAGTGGATCCTAAGGCTTGGTAGTGGTAATAAAGGTGCATCGGGTCCTATTTGCTGGTGATTTTAGTGTCATCGGCCATTTGGGATGGTCTAAATCGATATCATCTAGTAATTCATACAAAACAATTTGTGTGCATCCTGATGCACCATTTTTAGCAACCTTCACTCACCTTGATCAACCTTCTAGAATTTGACTGTTAAACTTGGGATTGTCCTTAGTTGTAAACGCAAAGACGAAGCTTGTTCTTGTAGTTCCTGCAACATCTCTGCAAAGAAATCCTATACGCAGTCATGACATAAAAATAGCAAATCCTTTGCTCTGGTGATTCCAAATTCAGATTTGTCACCACACATATAATGCCTATTTAAGTCATGGTTGTTTCTTGTTTCCGCCTAATTTCTTCTGTAACAGATTTCGCAGATTTAATTTCTGACTTTGTTCTTGCTTTTGTGTAAATGTAAAAATTCTTGCAGGCTCCATACCTGGTGTTTCATTTGATCAAATGAAACTACAGATAAAACTTGGAGTTCCTCGACCCCTTCAACCTACCTTGGATATTGAGAAAGTGAAGTCCGTTTTCCCTTAGTAAGTCTCTTCAACTACTGTTCTTAACTTCTGACAGTCGATCCACAACTACTTGCGGTTTCTTGTGACCTGCGATAACAATCATGCCCGTATAGTATAACCTCGACTGTTGTGAGGCTTTAGTAGGATTAGAAAACACATCAGCTGCTGATGTTATACTAACGGGTCTTGTTTCTTAATTTCTTACGATTTGATAGTGGGAAAATTGAGAACGTTGAAGTAGTGGATGGTGGACTGATATGCTCGAGCGGTGTTCATGTGGAAGAAATGGGAGACACAGATGATAATTGTTACATAGTCAATGCAGCTGTATATGTTGGATACTGAGTTGCGGTTTTTATCCAGAGTCTGCTTCAGGTCAGCATTTTCTTCACTGACAGATAAAATAGTTGGTTGGTACATCAGTATCTGGACCATACTATATGGTTAATTTTAACTCTTCAGGAAGCTTCCTTTTCATGGGAATATCTAAATATATGATTGGCTTGCTAATCCCATACACGATCCTCGTTTATTCTGGCTTAGGATATCTATGTAAAAGTAAATCTGATTTTCTGTTTTATGACCATAAATTATGTTGATAAAAGGTATCCATCCTTAATTCTATATGGTGTGCTGAATGATCCGGTTTTCCAGTTTTGAGGAATAATAACGGTCGTTTTCAAACTGAAACTTGTGATTTTCTATTGGCATGTGAATTCTCCTTTATTTGGGCAGCCTACTTGATTAACTTGAAATCACAAGCTGGGGTTCTTCTCAAAAACAGCTGGTCTACCCTCTTGGGGGTAGATGTCAGACTCACCTCTCCCTGTCCTATTTTTGAATGGGATATATTGGGTTTGTTTAATTTGGGTTTTACTTGACTTGAGAAGCATGCATGTTTGTCATGCATTGACCCAGGCCCATTAGCACCTTATAGATTCTAGAAGAGGTTGAAAGGGGTGTTTTAGTATTTTTGGGGAATTATTCTGTTAGCAGAAGGGGCCTTTGGGTCATATCTAGAATAATCCTAGGATGCTAGTAGTATAAATTAGTGGGTCTGGTTGTAGGAGAGGCACGCAGAAATTAGTGGGTTCTTTCGGGAGAGACTAGCACTCTCGAATCGCTAGAGTTCCTATCGTTGTCTTCAGTTTTCTATCCATTTACCGTGATTGAAGACAATCTGGCCGATCACTTCCTTTCTGTTATTGTGTTGGTTTCACCCTCTTAAGTTGGTTCATAACAATGTCCTTATATTCTGTAATGTCCACATTTTTACTGGCTTTTTGGACAATCATACTGAGTTTTTCATCACAAACAAACATCATTCTTGATTTCTTGCTTACACTTCCTTTGGGGTAGTGTAGACTCGTGACAAGTTATCTGGGTGGTGTTAAATGAATCCCCTTTTGGGTCAAATCAGGATTATTTGGTATGTAAAAAAACGTAGGTTGATTATGAGGTTTAGGATTTAGGATCTAGGGTTTATGGTTCATTAAAAAAAACTCTTAGTTTTATTATTATTATTATTATTATTATTATTATTATTATTATTATTATTATTATTATTATTATTATTATGTGGGTAAGGAATAAGAATGATATGTGCATTTAGCAAATAATAGGTGTGTTTTTAGCCAATTACTAAATAATAAAAATGATTGTACTTGGACACAATTCTCCAAACTCTTTGTCTTGTTCAATCCATCTTCACATGGGTCTAACACTAAACGAGACCACAACTAGCTGTGGACCATTCTACCTGCGCCCTTTTTCAGTATTCAGTTGTCACATTTTAACTCCACACATTGCATCACTTCTTTTTCATTTTAATTATCATTTTCACGACACACGTGTATTCACATATTTAAAACTATAAGGGTGGTGTCTGATTGGTTTAAGCTTGACTTCAAAGGTCAAAAGTACCAAGAGGTCTCAGGTTCAAATCCAAGGAGGAATAAAAATCCCCTTGTGGTCACGGAGGTTCAAATGCGGTGACTCCGGGCTATATGCAAAACAGGTTGTCGCCCTGAGATTAGTCGGCTCGCATAGCTGGTTGAATATCCAGGTTAATAAAAAAAAATCATGTGTGTGTGAACATATATATATATATATATATATATATATATATATATATATAGACTTGGGATCATGTGAGACCAATGGTTTTTCGTGAGACCCGTAAGACCAATTCTCAACCCTTGGATTAAATTTACAATCGTCAGATCTGAACATTCATAAACGCCACGAGACTTCTCAATAATTATAAAATTGCCACCTTGCAACTTTAGACCATTAGATCATAAGTTTATAATGTTGATCAATGAACATAAATTGGTCTTACGGGTCTCACAAAAAACCTTTGGTCTCACGTGAACCCAACCCTATATATATATATATATATATATATATATATATATAGGGGCTTAATCAAATGAGAACTAATTAGTTTGTGGTAACCGTGAGAACCAATCTCAGCCACAAATCAATAGATAAATAGGAAATTTTTAATTTTGGTAATTTTTAATTAAAATTTTAATGCAAGGGTATTTTAGGTATTTTCTCTCCTCTCTTCTATCTCCTCTCTTCTCTCTCCGTCCCCCGGCCTCCGACCACCATCCTCCGGCCACCGTCCTCCGGTGATACCACAGTGGTATCACAATACATCATATATGTGATTGGGTATCACAATGTGGTCGTTTGTGTGGTCGATCGGATATGTAACACAGTGGTATCACAATGCATCTTATATGTGTTTGAGTATCACACTGTGGTATAACCGGAGGCTGGTGGCCGGAGGCCGGAGGACGGTGGCCGGAGGACGGTGGCCGGAAGACGGGGACGGAGAGAGAAGAGAGGAGMGAKGAGAGAAAATACCTAAAATGTCCTTGCATTAAAATTTTAATTAAAAATTACCAAAATTATAAATTTCCTAATTTATTTATTGATTTGTGGCTGAGATTGGTTCTCACAGTTACCACAAACAACTTAGTTCTCCCTTGAATATGCCTCTATATATATATATATATATATATATATGATTTGTTGCCATAAGTCACACTATGAAAAATGTCATGACCTTGTTGTGGCTTCTAAGGCTTGAGGCTTGACGAAGCAACGCCTTACGCCATTTAGAACATTGATTAAACTCGAACTAAACAATAACCGTTATAAATAGGGGTGATGAAACGATTGGAATAATAACTTGATTGATTTCAATATCAATATCATTAACCGTACATTACAATATTATGATGAGGAGAAACAAGTAATTTCATGTCAACTTTAATTCAGAAAAGAAGTGCAATTAATTGATTTGAAAACATATAAAAAAATCAAACACTCTTTTTATATTGCACAATCTATCATTCTATTTTATGGTTTATTGCAAATCTTGTTCTTAAGCTTTACAAATGAACCATTTTCCATATCTCCACTTACAAATGTATTCATTTTGTATAATCGTTTATTGATCTGTCAATTGGCGAAAGAAGCATACATGAGTTGGTTCCATGTATCGGGTAACCCGGGCACACACCAATGGCTGCAGTCGACACCTGAGTCACTATAAGATGAAGGATGTGCATCTTTCCGCAACTGAGATAGTGTTGTGATATCGAGCAAGGTGACTGATTTCTTTATGCTACTTAGGACTTTGTTTAGAACGATTTGAGCCTCAGGTAAGCCTGCAGGGTATGATGATCCTTCTACCGGTTGTAGCTCTCCATAACAGTTCCTTGACGATGATCCCCATTCCTTCCCCCTAATTACGCAAAACGATTCATTATAAAATTTATTTAGATTATTCTTTAAAAGAACCCTTGAGGAGAGAAAAGAAGTTCCAACATAATTTGAAGTAGAAAAGTCAAAGTCCTTCAGATGCGAGACTCTAACACAGCCCTCCACATGAGGCTCTATTAGATTACTCTCCAAAAGAGCCTTGAAAAAAAAAGAGAAGTTCCAACATATATTGAAGTAAAAATGTAGTTTTTCCAATGTGAGTCTCCAACATGCCCTTCCAAAAGAGGTTAGAGGAACACAAATGTTTTGGAGGTAGAAGTTGGCTTTAATACCATGTGAGAAAATGTGGAACCTTACTGGATTGCTCTCCAAAAGAGCTTTTGAGGCAAAATATACTAAAGTAGAAAAAGTTCAAGTCTAGCTGATGCAGGACTTTATAATTCACTACATATGACACAGAATCTTTAGGGCTTTACGACTTATATCATATCTGTTGTAATGATTATGAGTTAATATCGGGTGTACTTACATGTAATGTGTCGGAGAGATCCCTTGAAAGAACACTTTAGTCTTCGAAGGGTCCACATTAAGTTCAACCCATCTTGCCCATGTCGTCATGCCCTTGTAATAGGCCGCTAGACGGTCCATATCTTTCGATATGGTTGATCCATCTTTTATGTAATCAAATCTGGCATAAAAACCAAAAATGAGGTATAATCTACGAGTAATAACACCTAAAAACATAATTATGAAATACGATAAAGAATCATACGGTTGTAAGTTTCCAGTGTGGGTCCACCAATGCCATGAGTTGAACACGAGCACGTCCATCCCTTTCCATGCATCGCCTCCTTGAATAGAATCCAATAACAAAACCCTTCCGATGCTTTGTTTCACGATGTCTACCAAATATGGTGTGCGATACAAGTAGATCGTCACATCGTAATCCTGTATATATAACGTTATACAGTCGGTTAAACGACTAAAACCCGATTCAATGTTATTCTTCATTTCAATTCAATTGAATCTATAAATTCAATTAAATTATGAAAAAATACATCAATAAATATAAAAATAGTAATAGAAAATGGGTGTCACTTTTTTGATGTTTTGTGCAAGTTTTAACAATGTTGAGGTTGGTCACATGTCATGCCCAGAACAAAAATCCAAAACTGCAGCTCATGATACATCACAAGAAAGGGAATCACTTTTTTCATCACTTTCCACATTGGGAACATGCTTTCGATTTTTTTTATTTCATTTCTGGTATTCGATCTTTGACTGATTATCGTATCTGGTTCAAATATGTATATATATATTGTTGTGTACGTTTAAATTGAACCGAATTTTTGGTTATAAAAGATTGGCATAACCTATAATAACGAACCAAACCCTTTTTTGTCATAAAAGATTGACGGAACCCGTAAAAGTTGGAAGTAGTAAACCGTTAACAACCATAAGGTGAACCGAAAATGAAGGTTTTCAATAGATATGGAAGCATTTTATTATCAAATAAAGACGGAATTAACGTATAAGAAAACCATTTAAAAATAGATTTTGAAAGAATATTAAAAGTTTAGAGAGTAAGTGCCAAATACAAATAAACACACACAAAATTGTGTATATAGTTGACATCCACCACCTCTACCCACCACCCATGCTTTTTGCATCCGTCGGTGGGGCTTTTTGGCCCTATATACACATATACATATATATATATATATATATATAATCAGTTTTTCCTTGAATAAACCTCTATATATATATATATATATATTTTGAAGTGTTTATGTTTAAAAAGGTTTAAGGATGTTATCTTTTACATACAAAATAGTGATATGTACGTTTGAAATGGGTTTATAGGAATTAAGAAGTTTGTAAAGGAAAAGGTGTATGGCATAAAAAGAATGAAAAAGAAATGAAAGGGGGAGGAAGAGAGACCTGAAAAGTGAGGGTGGTAAGAACGTCTCTGTGCTGAAACGTGGTCTTGGAATTGGGCACCGACGCATGGAGCAAACAAGCCAACGATTCCCACTGATTCAAACTCAGTGAGTCACCCACAAACATAACCTTCTTCCCTCTCCATTTATTCAACAAATCCACCCCATTAAACCTACACAGTGCAATTTTTTATATATACACTACTATATATATATAAAAGAAAACCCATAAACCTCAACAATTGCTTATATAAGCTAAAAATCCATGTTGTTGACTAATAGTTTATAAAATGTGGATTTTATATGAAACAAGAAAAAAGGAGTAAATTTTATCCAAGAATAGTTTATATATATTGTGTTTTAAATTAATAGAAAAATAAGGGATTTTTCATATATTTTTTTTAGCTTTTGATGTGCAATAAATATGGATAATTAAAGGGAAGTTGTGTAAGATTGAAGATAGGTTGTAAATTAAAACAGAATTGAATTGAAATGTTGATAATGACATATAAGCACAGGTCCTTATAGACTCATCTGTTCAAAAGAAGTTGAACAACTAATTAACAAACAACCCCCAAAGCAAATTTGGTCCTTAGACACAACAACATCATGCCTTCAACTCTTCTCTCCACAAAAAACATAAAGATCCATCCTTTGCTCACAAACACCCCATCAATTCAAGACTTGCAGGTATATACATACATATATATATATATATATATATATATATAGAGAGGGAGAGAGAGAGAGAGAGAGAATGTAGTACCTGGGGAGGTTGCAAGAATCAGGTTTCCAAACATACTTGAGATACTGAGTATCTGAACGGCCATGTTTAAGGCAATCAAACTCAGAACTAATAAAGGGACAACTTGAAGCTGCATAGAGTGGATAAGAATTATCTGCAATCCATCTCCCTCTGTATAAATCACAACCCACCAATTTCCTACCTCTTCCATGGCTTCCACTTCTTCTTCCCCTTAATGAACTACTTACATTACTACTTGTGCCATGTGTTGTTAATGAGAGCACTTGTGTTCTACCCAAACTTACAACCACCAACACCTGCAATTCAAGAAGGAGAAGAAGAAGAAGATAAAAGATCTTATTTTGATACCCAAAATCCATGATCTTTATTGGGTTTTGGTGAAGAGGTTGATCAAGAAATGGTGTGTAGAAAAAAGCTGTCCTTCTGCTCTTTGGTCTCTCCTATTTATATCTGGATAAAAGGGCTTGCTTTCAAAACATATATATTTCATTTCCTTATAAATAAACAGAAGAAAACAAAAAACATACATAAATTAAATTTATAATTCTAAATTAAATATCATAATTTTATATAAACATTATTACAATTTATAATATATATATATATATATGTATATATATATATATAATACTTTGGTTTCACATGGTTGGAGCCACCAAATTTGATTTATAAAATTTTGGTTGTAAGCTGGATTCTATTATTGTGTTTGTAACATGAGTAATGAGTGGTTGTGTTTTTCTAATATTTTACCCTAAAAAGAGCTTTTCTATGGAAAAAGCAATGTTCGCGGGCGTGTAAAACATAAATAAAAATATTGTAAATTAATTTGTTAACAATAAAATCAAAACAAACTTTACTTTAATTAAGAAATAAGTATTTAGGGTCGTTTACCAAACACTTACCCAAGTAAGCATTTACTAAGTCACAATACATTATTGGATGACTATGACAACGACCAAGAATCTTACCCGGTAAGAGCAAAAACATTACCCGAAAAGTGAAAGTGATGGCTCCTACTCAGTTAGCACTTACCGAGGAGATTTTTACATATAATGTCGTTTTGACGAACTAAAGTCTTGTTAGGTAAGGTAAATAATATTGTTGAATTTTACCGGTAAGCGCTTACTGAAAAAGTGTTTAGGTAAACGACTCCTTAATCAAAAAATTAGAAACGGGTAGAAACTGTCAACCATGAAACTAATTTCATTGTTTTATAGATGAATTAATATATGTGTAAACTAATTTATTAAACATATAAACCTTCCTTTACATATATAACTAATTTTATTTTATATTATGTTAATTAATTTGATTTAATTATTTAAAGTAATATATAGTGTTTTGGATTGTAGAAAGTCCCGTGCGACAACAGTTGTAGGGTGTGAAGGAACAATTGTTTGGGTTTCTTAAACATATTAATTTGATTGGATTATTGATATGTATGATAATGTTTTGTAACCAATGGAGTCGTTGCATGTGATTTCTATTATTTTTTGGACTTAAATTAATGGTCCAATCAATGATTTAATTGACTGCCATTTATTATTTTCTGATTTCTATTATTCTTTGGACTAATTCACATTTTCTTATCCAAAAATCTATCAATTTCAATTTCAAATACATAAATATTGTATTTTAAATATATTTTTCAGGTCTTTCTCTAAGGTTGTGTCTACTACTAGTTGATAAGTTTGTTGTTAGTTGATAAATTAATCATATATTTAATAAAAATAAATTATCTGATAAACTAAAGAACATGATAAAAAAAAATTACTCAATTATAACATAAAAGATAGAGTAAATTACATTTTTGGTTCCTATGGTTGCCACTCATTATCAAGTCTCATCAATATTTTAAACTAATTACACTTTCGGTCAATGTGGTTGCCATTTTGTTCACTTTTGGTCCCTTTGACTAACTCCAGTTAAAAAAGTCTGTAAGTCAGGGATATGTTATATGCTATGTGGAATTGAGGGCCGTTATAGTTAGTATTAGTGCCTGAGTTTAAGGGATTTAGTTATTTAGTTTGATGCCTAGACATAAACTAGTTGATTTTATTGCATGATAATATGTTCCACCATGTTTAGAACCCGCATGATAATATGTCCCGCCATGTTTAGAACCCACATGATATTGAATATAATAGGCAGAAAGAATGACATGTAAGGTAATTACATTTGACCAATGTATTTGTTAGTTTACAGGTGCATGTTTGTACTTGAATACCTTATTATGTTTGGTTATATGTGACTAAAGTGTATTTATTCTGTGATTTATTATATGACAAGTCCTTCTCGCCCGGTTAGAAATGATTCAGTTACCTTGGATGGGGTAGATCATCCGCCCAAAAATAATCCGGGAAGATCATCCCCATGGTAGAGACCGAGGTCATGTTAGGGGAATCCGTGAGCCTAAAATTAATCCCAAAACTATAATAACTGTCAGGACCCAATGTCAATGAAGAGGCCGGGGACGAGCTAGAGGTGTAAATCTTGGATTACAAATTAAACCATATGCCTTAGTTCATGAAAGCTTAGCCAATGGCCGAGGTAGAGGTTGAGCTAGAGGTCAGGGTCGGGCTCCGAATCCCAAGTATGTCAAATGAAAGGATTTGGATCGAGTTAGGTAAGCTTCAAGATACTCTGAAATCTTTGTTGGGGTACTTTAAAATACTGAGACCGAAATTACTATAACCGAAGTGAATGGACCAACTACTACTCACTCGGGTAGTCAACCCATCCCTACACCTACTACCATTGTTACAAAGGGTGATTATAAAATGTTTTTGGCTTGTAAACCCCTGACTTATTTTGGTGAGCGGGATCCTTTTAAAGCTATGTGTTGGTTGAGAGAGATGGAAATGACTTTTGATGTCAGTAAATGTTTGAATAAGGAATAGGGATTTTTTTTTTTGTGACAGTACTAAAATTTGATGCTCTATTCTAGGGGGATATCATGATGTCTTTACAAAGGGTCTAATATTGCCAAGACTATGTCTTGGAAGGATTTTTCAGATTAACTCAAAGACCAGTTTTGTCCAAAAGCAGCGATAAGACAGTTAGAGGAAGAGTTTATGAGGTTAGAACATGAAAATATGACTGTTCAAGAATACATTGTGAGATTCTTAGAAAAGTCTCGATTTGCAGAAGTTTATATATGCACTGAAGCTCACAGGCTAGAAAGATATATTTGAGGTTGAAATATTATGTTAGAGAACTGGTTATGGCAATGAGTCCGATTACATTTTAGTATACTGTTGATGTTGCATAAATGACAGAGAAAGAAAAGAACCGACAATTGGGTGAAAGAGGTAGTGAGAAAAGAAAGTGGGACAGTCTGTTAAATGGTTTTAGAAGGCCAAAGTTTACAAGATTTAATGACCTTACAAATCAAAGATTTGTTGAGAGACCATGTCCGAGATGTCAAAGAATGCACCGGGGTGAATGTAACTCAGCATTGAGGAATTGTTATAAATATGGAAAACCGGGTCATATTGTGAGTAACTGTCGGGTAACAAGATTTTGTCATCAATATAATTCATCGGATCACCTCAAACTTGATTGTCTATAATTGAGAGGTCAAGGATCAAACTACTTTGGGGTGATCAAGGAAATAGGGAAGAAGCCTGGAAGCTCGATGAGTTGAAAGCTTAAGGGGAGTAAGTTTCACATGACTTCGGGAGGCCAAGGAGACACCAGAAATAGTGGCATGTACGTTTTTGGTAAACTCCTTATGTGCTAAAGTACTATTTGATTTTAGTGTCAATCATTCTTATATTTCTCCTTTATTTATTGGTTGTTCACATGCAAAACCTGTCTTTAGATTATGTTTTAGTAGTAAAAACTGCTAATTATAATCAGATTATGGTGAGTGAAGTATTTGAAGCCTGTAGTATAGATATGGATGGGTGTGTAGTACTGATTCAATCACATGGACGAAGAAGAAAAAATGGGTAGTGGTTGATTGCCAGAGATGTTCATAGACTTGATGAAGGAGAAAAAAAGGTTTGTTTACCATAGAAGATAATGGAAGCTTTGATCGGAGCTTTAATCTATACTAAAGATGGGAAGTGGTGACCTTTGTCTATGTGCCACTCTTCAATTTTTGGTCCATCTCCGACGATTGCCAATCTAGAGGAGTTGTAGGTTCAGGAAAGGGTTTTTGCTCTAGAAAAAGATGGTGGTGGTCGCTGGGTTTTGGTCCCGTGATGAAATACTATGGAGAAAAGGTGGGGTAATGGCTTGGTTTTTGGCCACTAAACATGGGGTTGCCACTTGTTGAAGTATTGGATTTTGATTTTAATGGTCCATGCGTTCTTTACGGTTGTATCCAATTATTCATGATCTTTGGTTTCTTTAATTTGTTTAGGATTTTGGGTTTTTAATGGGGTTTTTGGTTTGTTAGGTTCTCCGGAGAAGATAACTGTCCGGGAGGGGTTGCAGGAGAAGATGACTAGAGGGGGAGGGGTGGCAAGAGAAGGTGGTCACGAGATCATGTCCGGACTCGGGGAGTGGGGTAGGGTGGTTGGGTGGGAGTAGGGATATAAAATAGAAAGATTTTAATAAAATAGAATAGGAAAAAGAAGAAATATAGTAGAAAGACCTAAATACCCTTCCATTTAATGTCATTTTTTAATGGAGTTAGTTTAAAAGACCAAAAGTGAAATAAAGTGACAACTACAATGACCAAATTTGAAACAAGTTGGCAACCACAATTAGAGGTGAGCAACGGACGGGTCGAATCAGATCATACCAAAAAACCCAAAACCCCATTGGATTTCGGGTAGAAAAGCTGGAACCCGAAATTCACTTGAAATCCTTAAGACCTGCGGATGCCGGGGTTCATGTTATTTTAGGTTGGATTTTGGGTTTTATGGGATTACCTTCATCATTCACACTTTCTTATAATTAGGTTTTCTTTGTAGCAGTTGATGTTCTTTCTTCATATTTCCATGATCGCCATTGTTTAAATCTTGACTAGATTTATTAAACTTAGCCGTTTTCGAGGGTTTCAAATAAGTGTTTCGATTGACAGCTTGAACATGAATCCTCATGTGGCCACCAATGCTTTCTCTAGCTGAACTCCTATTTACATTCCACACAAACCCTTTTTCCTTGATTCATCATCGTCTCACATTCTTAGATTATCTAAAAAAATATAAATGAAAAAACATGAAAAGAACGACTAAATATTATTAAAAAATTATCTGAATTAGATTATCTAAAAACTACCTTATTATTCATGAATCAAATTTCAAAACTAAGTAAATATATAATTATAACACCAAATTAGTTCCCATTTCACCTTCAAAAGTCATTTAAAAGCAATACCCACTTTTTACACACTCATCAAATAATAAATAAAAGTATTTATGTTTCTTTTATTATTGTATTATTAGTTATTGCATAAACGCAGCCCC